CATTATCCTTTGAGATACCCACAGGTTCATTTATCCAACTCCAACCTGAGCCAATTGCCTCAGTAGAATCAGCATCCACATTCAAAGCTTGGTGCAAGAAGCTGGGAATCATGGTCATGGAATTTATCTGACAAGAAAGAAATCATATCCATAACAAACAAACCCACATGACATGAGAGATGCAAGCTAATGAAACACTGTTTACTACAAACAAATACATATAAGAAACTAATTGAGTTTCAAGGAAGAAGAATGAACTAATAAGACAAACCTTTGCCGTATTAAGAACTACATTCTTGCAGTCTGGTAAAATGCTCACAGACCATGCAGGCAAGAGATATGAATTGCCACTAAAATTGACAGTTACTTCTGATGTGCCCACATTAGCAAGAAAAGCAGCACATAATCCTGATCCAGTTTTATAGACAGTAGCCTGGGAGGAAATATAAATCCATTAAGACATAAAAAGACAGTAGAAACTGTAAGACTAAGATTTCAATGAATAAATTTTAGAACTCCTATCCCTCAGTGATTAATCATTAATGACATTATTGTACTAGCTAAAAAATCAAGTGAATTCTTTTGATACCTTAAATTAGTTAGGAAGCAAAGTTTGCTTGCAAAAAAAAAAAAAAGGAAATTAGTGAATCACGATGGTTTCTACCTCCAAGTTTGGGCCCAGAGAAGTATATGTCGGGTCAGTTGCTACTAATGCTTTTTCGCAAAGTTTTATTGCCTTGTGGACATCTTTTAGGTGGCCCCACTTAGGTTGTCTGGGAATCCCTGAATTATATATCATGAACAGTTGAAAACTAGTGAATTTACAGATGGAAATTGGATTTTCAGTGCATTATGAACCAAAAAATTATTGAGGGGCACATTTCATCGTTTCATAGAATACAACAGCAGCACCATGGAAGTGCTGCAACAACCCTTGCATCATTCTAGTGACTCAAAATATAAGTATATAATGGAAGTTAACTGTCCAGGAGTGGGTACTAGATAGATTAACAGATATAAGGTTAAAGCATCAAGAAAACTTACCATACTCATCAATTGGAGCATTATAATCATAACTAGTAGCAATGAAGGGTCCACCAGTGGTCCGGCCAAAATTTGTTCCACCATGATACTGTTTTATAGGTAACCAAAAGAGATGTAGTATAAAGAACTTGTTTTTCTTGGATTGAGACTACCTGTTTCTAGAGTAAAAGTAATTTTCTAAAGAACTTATGCTTTCCAGAAAACTCCAAATATTATACCATATAATAGTTTTGGAAAGTTCCACCTCGTTGGTAAAACCGTGCAACAGCAAATGCAAGGTCTTCAACAGGTCTATAGGGAGCAGCACCACCAAAGGAAAGAAACCTAGTATTTAAAGTTACAGGTAAAGTAAACAATGAATGAGAAATATCACAACAAAACAATTGAACGCACAAAATAAATCAACTCTTATTGACGGAGACATTTAATCCAGCCAACTGTCAGCATTTAGATAGAATGGACAAGTCAAAAACCATACCATCCACTACAATTCTCAGTCCACATTTTAGGTTTGGTCTTAGAATTTGGGGTGAACTGGTCACAATAGAATCCATTGCAGGTGTTAATCTGTCAGTAACCGGAGAAGACA